TGACCCGCCACCAGGAAGCGCATCCGCCCCAGGTAGTGACCGCCTACATGTAGCTGCCCCAGCTACAGGTAGCTGAGGTAGCTGACCTGCCACTGCGGCAGGTCATGGGCGGGCTTTGCTACATGATAGCGTGGCCGAGCGGTCTAAGGCGCTGGATTAAGGCTCCGTCTCTCGGAGGCGTGGGTTCGAATCCCACCGCTGTCAGTACGGTCTTGTTGAAAGACAATAATTCACATTCAATACCATAGTCAAGTGTAGCTGACCTGCCACTGCGGCACCGAGCGGTCTAAGGCGCTGGATTAAGGCGATTAAGCGCATCCGCTTACAGGTAGCTGACCTGCCACCAGGAAGCGGACCCGCCTACAGGGAGCTGACCCGCCACCAGGAAGCGCATCCGCCACCAGGTAGCTGACCCGCCTACATGTAGCTGCCCCGCTACAGGTAGCTGAGGTAGCTGACCTGCCACTGCGGCAGGTCAGTGGGCGGGCTGTGCTACACGATAGCGTGGCCGAGGCGTCTAAGTGCTGGATTAAGGCTCCAGTTTCTTCGGAGGCGGGTTTGAATCCCACCGCTGTCAGTCAATACGAAATTCAACAGCGACACAGCTCCACGGAGGACACCCTGCCTACAGGTAGTTGACCCGCCACCAGGTAGCGGACCCGCCACCAGGAAGCGGACCCGCCTACATGTAGTTGACCCACCACCAGTTAGCTGACCCTCCTACAGGTAGCTGACCCGCCAACAGCGACACGGCTCCATGGAGGACACCTTGCCTACAGGTAGTTGACCGGCCACCAGGTAGCTGACCCGCCTACAGGTAGCTGACCCGCCTACATGTAGCTGACCCACCTGTAGGCACCTGTGGAGCCGTGTCGCTGTTGAATTTCGTACACCGCTCGGCCACGCTATCGTGTAGCAGAGCCCGCCCACTGACCTGCCGCAGTGGCAGGTCAGCTACCTCAGCTACCTGTAGGCTACCTGGGGCAGCTACACCTATGCTACACGATAGCGTGGCCGAGCGGTCTAAGGCGTGGATTAAGGCTCCAGTCTCTTCGGAGGCGTGGGTTCGAATCCCACCGCTGTCAGAACAGTTTTGCTGAAAGACAATAACTCACATTCAATACGAAATTCAACAGCTACACGGCTCCACGGAGGACACCTTGCCTACAGGTAGCTGACATCCCACCAAGTAGCTGACCCGCCTACATGTGCTGAGGTAGCTGACCTGCCACTGCAGCAGGTCAGTGGGCGGGCTGTGCTACACGATAGCGTGGCCGAGCGGTCTAAGGCGCTGGATTAAGGCTCCAGTCTCTTCGGAGGCGTGGGTTCGATTCCCACCGCTGTCAGTACGGTCTTGTTGAAAGACAATAATTCACAATCTCAATACCATAGTCAACAGCGACCTAGAGCTCCACGGAAGACACCCTGCCTACAATGTAGCTGACCTGCCACTGCGGCACCGATTGCGGTTCATACGGCGCTGGATTAAGGCGCCAGTCAATTCAGAAGCCGTGGGTTCGAATCCCACGCCTGTCAACTCTGTTTTGCTGGAAAAGACAATGATTCCCATCTCAATACGAAAGTCAACAGCGACACGGCTCGACAGAGGACACCCTGCCTACAGGTGGGTCAGCTACATGTAGGCGGGTCAGCTTCCTGGTGCGCTACCTGGTGGCGGCGTCAGCTACTGTAGGCGGGTCCCACTCTCCTGGGGGCAGGAAGTGGTACCCGGGTTAGCTGACCCGCCTACAGGTAGCTGACCTCCCACCAAGTAGCTGACCCGCCTACATGTAGCTGAGGTAGCTGACCTGCCACTGCAGCAGGTCAGTGGGCGTGCTGTGCTACACGATAGCGTGGCCGAGCGGTCTAAGGCGCTGGATTAAGGCGCCAGTCTCTTCAAAGGCGTGGGTTCGCTGTCAAAAGGGTTTTGCTGAAAGACAATAATTCACATTCAATACGAAATTCAACAGCGACACGCGGTGTTACTGTCCTGATACACCTAAGTTCATTTTAGGAGATTTTAATAATTGTCCTGTGAAAAAGTTTTTACGCACATATTATCAGTATGTGGACTGTCCATCCAGGAAAAATAAGTTTTTAGATCTATGTTATGGAACTGTCAAAGATGCCTACTCTTCATCATTGCTCCCACCACTAGGGGCATCTGACCACAATGTGGTTTACCTAAGGCCTATATACCAGAGGCTCCTGCAGAGGGAGAAGCCCCAGGAACGCTCAATTAAAGTATGGAATAATGACAGTATAATGGCCCTGCAGGGTTGTTTTGATTGTACAACCTGGGACACTTTTAAATGCCCTGATATAAATATAAATGAACAGGTAGAAACAATATCTGACTACATCAATTTCTGTGTAGACACAGTCCTACCCATAAAAACCATTAAAATATTTCCAAATGATAAACCCTGGATCTCCAACAAATTAAAGCATCTTATAATTGAGAAGAAAAAAGCATACTGGAATCAGGATGATACAGCCAAAAGGGACATACAGAGACAGATTAAAAGACAAATACAGCTGGATAAGTACTGTTACAGACAGAAGATTGAGGCAACCCTGGTGTCAGGCAACCCACGGGAGGCATGGCAGGGGATCAAAACCATGACCAATGTCCCACACAAGGGCAGAGGGAAACCTGCTCTGATCCTGCCTGGAGGCGAGGGACTGGAGAGGGCAAACCAGCTAAACAACTTCTTCTGTCGTTTTGAGAGTGGCAGCGATGCTGGGGCTGGTATCATGCTGCCCCCTCCACCCTCTGCATCTGTCTTAAACATCAGACAATCGGATGTCTTTCACCTTTTTAGTCGCTGTAACCCACGGAAAAGCCCTGGCCCTGACAATATCTGCGTAATACCCTTAAACACTGTGCAGAACAGTTAGCCCCCGTGTTCACTGACATTTTTAACTCCTCCCTTAACCTCTGTACAGTCCCTATCTTGTGGAAAACATCTACAATTGTACCCGTGCCAAAACTGCCAAGACCCACAGAGTCTAATTACTTCCGACCAATAGCGCTGACATCACTGGTCATGAAGTGCTTGGAGCGTCTGGTAAAGAGGTACATTGTGTTCCAAACCCGCCATCTTATGGACCCCCTGCAATTTGCTTATCAAGCCTCCAGGGGGTGGATGATGCAATTTTGACATTAATGCACCTTTTGCACACATCTTGAGAAACCTAAGACTCATGCTAAGATTTTATTTGTGGACTTTTCATCTGCTTTTAACACCATGCAACCTAAGATTCTTGCAGACATTTTAGCCAGTGAATTTTATCTTAATGCAGGTATTATTTATTGGATCATGGACTTCCTTACCAGTAGAGTCCAGCGTGTCAGAGTGGGCTCATCTCTGTCTGATGCGATGACAACATCCACAGGCTGTCCACAAGGATGTGTTTTATCTCCTTTACTATTTATTTTATACACAAACTCATGCACCAGCACTTTACAAAACAGGCACTTTATCAAATATGCAGACGACACAGCTCTAGTGAGTCTGCTACAGGATGGGGAGGTAGATCATGGGCCAGTTTTAGACTTCTTTTTAGAATGGTGCACTAGGTCACACTTAATTTTAAATACCAATAAGACCAAGGAAATGTTAATAGATTTTAGAAAGTCACAGCAATCCACTGACACTTTTATCAATGGGGAGGCTATCCAGGTTGTTACAAACTACAAATACCTTGGCATTGTATTAGACAACAAACTCAAATGGGACACATGGACTGACCTTTTGCACACTAAGGCTCAGCAAAGAATGTACTTTTTAAAGAAACTACTTGTTTTTAATGTCAATAACAAAATGCTTCAAATGTTTTACACTGCTTTTATTGAAAGTGTCTTAACTTGCTGTATTATTTGCTGGTTTGGAAATGCCACTGAGTCACAGAAAAAGCCATCAGAAAAACAGTTACAACTGCTAGTAAGCTACTTCTGGATGACACTGCCGAGCATTGAGGTCATTTACAAAGACAGACTGGTGAGAAAGGCCCATAACATTGTATGTGACTACACACACCCCCTGACTTGTTATTTTAAACTTCTACCCATCTAGGCGTCGTCTTCCTGCCCACCTTATGACTAAGAACAGATCCAAATTCCTTTTGTACCACAAGCCATTAAAAAGCCTTAAATCAGTTCATATAAGCTATCTATGTCCAGCTGGCCTGGCCATATCCAAAGGTATGTAGTGTATTGTAGTGTGTGTTGTATGTTCTTCATGTTATGTCCTGTTGGTCGTCTGATGTATGGGAACTTGTTGTCATTATGTCTGATGTCCTGTTATGTTAAGTGCCTGGTGACTGTGCCGCAAACTCTAAATGCCCCTCGGGGGATAATAAAGTTATCTACTACACCACGGAGGACACCCTGCCTACAGGTAGTTGACCCGCCACCAGGAAGCGGACCCGCCTACATGTAGTTGACCCGCCACCAGGTAGCTGACCTGCCCGCAGGAAGCGGACCCGCCTACATGTAGTTGACCCGCCACCAGGTAGCTGACCTGCCCGCAGGAAGTGGACCCACCTACAGGTAGCTGACCCGCCACCAGGTACCGCACCAGGAAGCTGACCGCCTACATGTAGCTGACCCGCCACCAGGTAGCTGACCTGCCTACATGTAGCTGACTCACCTACAGGTAGCTGAGGTAGCTGTCACGGGGGAGGCCCATGCTACACGATAGCGTGGCCGAGCGGTCTAAGGCGCTGGATTTAGGCTCCAGTCTCTTCGGAGGCGTGGGTTCGAATCCCACCGCTGTCAGCAGGGTTTTGCTGAAAGACAATAACTCACATTCAATACGAAATTCAACAGCGACACGGCTCCAGGGAGGACACCTTGCCTACAGGTAGTTGACCCGCCACCAGGTAGCTGACCCGCCACCAGGAAGCGCATCCGCCTACAGGTAGCTGACCTCCCACCAAGTAGCTGACCCGCCTACATGTAGCTGAGGTAGCTGACCTGCCACTGCGCAGGTCAGTGGGCGGGCTGTGCTACACGAAGCGTGGCCGAGCGGTCTAAGGCGCTGGATTAAGGCTCCAGTCTCTTCGGAGGCGTGGGTTCGAATCCCACCGCTGTCAGTACGGTCTTGTTGAAAGACAATATTCACATTCAATACCATAGTCAACAGCGACAGAGCTCCACGGAAGACACCCTGCCTACATGTAGCTTACCTGCCACTGCGGCACCGAGCGGTCTAAGGCGCTGGATTAAGGCGCCAGTCACTTCAGAGGCGTGGGTTCGAATCCCACCGCTGTCACTCTGTTTTGCTGAAAGACAATGATTCACATTCAATACGAAATTCAACAGCCGACAGCGGGCTTCCACAGAGGACACCACTGCCTACACGGAGGGTCAGCTCCATGTAGGCGGGTCAGCTTCCCTGGTTCGTATACCCTGGTGGCGGGTCCAGCTACCTGTATGCGGGCGTCCACTTCCTGGGGTGCGAGGGAGAGGGGACCCCACGCGTTATTTCGCTGGACCCGCCTACAGGTAGCTGCGCCTCGACCCACCAAGTAGCGGACGACCGCCGTCACATGTAGCTGAGGTAGCTGACCATGCCCACTGAAGGCAAGCTGGTCATGTGGGCGTGCTGTGCTACATGATGATATCGTGGGCTGAGCGTCTAGGAGGCCTGTGCGATTAAGGCTCCAGTCTACTTCGGACGAGGCGAGGGTTCGAATCCACAGTCGCTGTCAGTACGGTCTTGTTGAAAGACAATAATTCACATTCAATACGATAGTCAACAGCGACAAACTCCTCCCTGGAGGACACTCTGCCTACACGGTAGCTGACCCGCCACCAGGAAGCGCATCCGCTTACAGGTAGCTGACCTGCGGCAGGTCAGGGGGTGGGCTGTGCTACGTGGCCGAGCGGTTTAAGGTGCTGGATTAAGGCGCCAGTCACTTCAAAGGTGTGGGTTCGAATCCCACCGCTGTCAAAAGGGTTTTGCTGAAAGACAATAATTCACATTCAATACGAAATTCAACAGCGACACGGCGGTGTCCACGGAGGACACCCCCGCCACCAGGAAGCAGATCCGCCACCAGGAAGCGGACCCGCCTACATGTAGCTGAGGTAGCTGACCTGCCACTGCGGCAGGTCAGTGGGCGGGCTGTGCTACACGATAGCGTGGCCGAGCGGTCGAAGGCACTGGATTAAGGCTCCAGTCTCTTCGGAGGCGTGGGTTCGAATCCCACCGCTGTCAGTACGGTCTTGTTGAAAGACAATAATTCACATTCAATACCATAGTCAACAGCGACAGAGTCCACGGAAGACACCCTGCCTACATGTAGCTGACCTGCCACTGCGGCACCGAGCGGTCTAAGGCGCTGGATTAAGGCGCCAGTCACTTCAGAGGCGTGGGTTCGAATCCCACCGCTGTCACTCTTGTTTTGCTGAAAGACAATGATTCACATTCAATACGAAATTCAACAGCGACACGGCTCCACAGAGGACACCCTGCCTACAGGTGGGTCAGCTACATGTAGGCGGGTCAGCTTCCTGGTTCGTTACCTGGTGGCGGGTCAGCTACCTGTAGGCGGGTCCACTTCCTGGGAACAGGAAGTGGACCCGGTTTAGCTGACCCGCCTACAGGTAGCTGACCTCCCACCAAGTAGCTGACCCGCCTACATGTAGCTGAGGTAGCTGACCTGCCACTGCGGCAGGTCTGCGGGCGGCCTACGCTACACGATAGCGTGGCCGAGCGGTCTAAGGCGCTGGATTAAGGCTCCAGTCTCATCGGAGGCGTGGGTTTGAATCCCACCGCTGTCAGACTGGTTTTGCTGAAAGACAATAACTCACATTCAATACGAAATTCAACAGCGACACGGCTCCACGGATGACACCTTGCCTACAGGTAGTTGACCCGCCACCAGGTAGCTGACCCGCCACCAGGAAGCGCATCCGCCTACAGGTAGCTGACCTCCCACCAAGTAGCTGACCCCTACATGTAGCTGAGGTAGCTGACCTGCCACTGCGGCAGGTCAGTGGGCAGGCTGTGCTACACGATAGCGTGGCCGAGCGGTCTAAGGCGCTGGATTAAGGCTCCAGTCTCTTCGGAGGCATGGGTTCGAATCCCACCGCTGTCAGTACGGTCTTGTTGAAAGACAATAATTCACATTCAATACCATAGTCAACAGCGACAGAGCTCCACGGAAGACACCCTGCCTACATGTAGCTGACCTGCCACTGCGGCACCGAGCGGTCTAAGGCGCTGGATTAAGGCGCCAGTCACTTCAGAGGCATGGGTTCGAATACCACCGTTGTCACTCTTGTTTTGCTGAAAGACAATGATTCACATTCAATACGAAATTCAACAGCAACACGGCTCCACGGAGGACACCCTGCCTACAGGTAGTTGACCCGTCACCAGGTAGCTGACTCGCCTACAGGTAGTTGACCCGCCACCAGGTAGCGGACCCGCCACCAGGAAGCGGACCCGCCTACATGTAGTTGACCGACCACCAGTTAGCTGACACGCCTACAGGTAGCGGACCCGCCACCATGAAGCGGACCCGCCTACATGTACTTGACCCACCACCAGTTAGCTGACCCGCCTACAGGTAGTTGACCCGCCACCAGGAAGCTGACCTGCCTACAGGTAGTTGACCTGTCACCAGGAAGCGGACCCACCTACAGGTAGCTGAGGTAGCTGACCTGCCACTGCGGCAGGTCAGCGGGCAGGCCGTGTTACACGATAGCGTGGCCGAGCGGTCTAAGGAGCTGGATTAAGGCTCCAGTCTCTTCGGAGGCGTGGGTTCGAATCCCACCGCTGTCAGTCTTGTTTTGCAGAAAGACAATGATTCACATCCAATACGAAATTCAACAGCGACAGGGCTCACAGAGGACACCCTGCCTACAGGTGGGTCAGCTACATGTAGGCGGGTCAGCTTCCTGGTGCGCTACCTGGTGGCGGGTCAGCTACCTGTAGGCGGGTCCACTTCCTGGGGGCAGGAAGTGGACCCGGTTAGCTGACCCGCCTACAGGTAGCTGACCTCCCACAAAGTAGCTGACCGCCTACATGTAGCTGACCCGCCACCAGGAAGCTGACCTCCCACTAAGTAGCTGACCCGCCTACATGTAGCTGAGGTAGCTGACCTGCCACTGCGGCAGGTCAGCGGGCGGGCTGTGCTACACGATAGCGTGGCCGAGCGGTCTAAGGCGCTCGATTAAGGCTCCAGTCTCTTCGGAGGCGTGTGTTCGAATCCCACCGCTGTCAGAAGGTTATTGCTGAAAGACAATAACTCACATTCAATACGAAATTCAACAGCGACACGGCTCCATGGAGGACACCTTGCCTACAGGTAGTTGACCCGCCACCAGGAAGCTGAGGTAGCTGACCTGCCACTGCGGCAGGTCAGCAGGCGGGCCTTGCTACACGATAGCGTGGCCGAGCGGTCTAAGGCGCTGGATTAAGGCTCCAGTCTCTTCGGAGGCGTTGGTTCGAATCCCACCGCTGTCAGTCTTGTTTTGCAGAAAGACAATGATTCACATTCAATACGAAATTCAACAGCGACAGGGCTCCACAGAGGACACCCTGCCTACAGGTGGGTCAGCTACATGTAGGCTGGTCAGCTTCCTGGTGCGCTACCTGGTGGCGGGTCAGCTACCTGAGCGGACACGCTCCATGGAGGACACCCTGCCTACAGGTAGCTGACCCGCCACCAGGAAGCGCATCCGCCACCAGGTAGCTGACCTGCGGCAGGTCAGCGGGTGGGCCGTGCTACACGATAGCGTGGCCGAGCGGTCCTAAGGCGCTGGATTAAGGCTCCAGTCTCTTCCGAGGCTTGTTTTCGAATCCCACTGCTGTCAGAAGGGTTTTGCTGAAAGAAACAATAACTCACATTCAATACGAAATTCAACAGCGACACGGCTCCACGGAGGACACCTTGCCTACAGGTAGTTGACCCGCCACCAGGAAGCACATCTGCCTACAGGTAGCTGACCTCCCACCAGGTACTGACCCACCTACATGTAGCTGCCCCAGCTACAGGTAGCTGAGGTAGCTGACCTGCCACTGCGCGGCAGGTCAGTGGGCGGGCTCTGCTACAGGATAGCGTGCCGACGCGGTCTAAGCGCTGGATTAAGGCTCCAGTCTCTTCGGAGGCGTGGGTTCGAATCCCACAGCTGTCAGTACGGTCTTGTTGAAAGACAATGACTCACATTCAACACCGTAGTCAACAGCGACAGAGCTCCACAGAAGACACCTTGCCTACATGTAGCTGACCCACCTACAGGTAGCTGACCTGCCACTGCGGCAGGTCAGTGGGGCGGGCTGTGCTACACGATAGCGTGGCCGAGCGGTGTAAGGCGCTGGATTAAGGCTCCAGTCTCTTCGGAGGCGTGGGTTCGAATCCCAACACTGTCTGAAGGGTTTTGCTGAAAGACAATAACTCACATTCAATACGAAATTCAACAGCGACAGGCTCCATGGAGGACACCGTGCCTACAGGTAAGTTGACCGGCCACCAGGTACTGACCCCCACCAAGTAGCTGACCCACCTGTAGCCTGCCACAGGCTACAGGTGGGTCACCTGTGCTACTCTCTGGTGTAGTTAGACCCGCCTACATGTAGCTGAGCTCACTGCAGCAGGTCAGTGGGCGGGCTGGCTACACGATAGCGTGGCCGAGCGGTCTAAGGCGCTGGATTAAGGCTCCAGTCTCTTCGGAGGCGTGTGTTCGAATCCCACCGCTGTCGTACGGTCTGTTTGAAAGACAATAATTCACATTCAATACCATAGTCAACAGCGACAGAGCTCCACGGAAGACACCCTGCTGACCTGCCACTGCGGCACCGAGCGGTCTACGGCGCTACACGCTATCGTGTAGCAGAGCCCGCCCACTGACCTGCCGCAGTGGCAGGTCAGCTACCTCAGCTACCTGTAGCTGGGGCAGCTACAGCCTATGCTACACGATAGCGTGGCCGAGCGGTCTAAGGTGCTGGATTAAGGCTCCAGTACCCACGAACCCTCGAATCCCACCGCTGTCAGTACAGTTTTGCTGAAAGACAATAACTCACATTCAATACGAAATTCAACAGCTACACGGCTCCTACAGGTAGCTGACCTCCCACCAAGTAGCTGACCCGCCTACATGTAGCTGACCTGCCACTGCAGCAGGTCAGTGGGCGGGCTGTGCTACACGATAGCGTGGCCGAGCGGTCTAAGGTGCTGGATTAAGGCGCCAGTCACTTCAGAGGCTGGGTTCGAATCCCACCGCTGTCACTCTTGTTTTGCTGAAAGACAATGATTCACATTCAATACGAAATTCAACAGCGACACGGCTCACAGAGGACAACCCTGACCTACAGGTGGTTCTGCAATACATGTAGGCGGGTCAGCTTCCTGGTTCGTACCTGGGGCGGGTCAGGCTACCTTGTAAGGGCGGGTCCAACTTCCTGGGGGCAGGAAGGAAAGGGGGGGACAGTGACACGGTTTTAGCTGACCCGCCTACTAGGTAGCCTGACCTCCTACATGCTAGCTTCGACCCGCACCTACATGTAGCTGGAGGGTAGCTGACCTGCCACTATGCAGAGGTCAAGTGGGGCGTTGCTGTGCTAAAGCACGATCGCGTGGCACCCGAGCGGGCGTCCTAAGGCGCTGGATTTAGGCCTCCCAGTCTCTCCGGTGAGGCGTGGGTTCGAATCCCTCCGCTGTCACTACGGTCTTGTTGAAAGACAATATATCTCACATTCAATACGATAGGGGTGTCCAACAGCGACAGAGCTCCATGGAGGACACACCCGGCCTACAGGTAGCTGACCCGCCACCAGGAAGCGCTTCCGCTTACAGGTAGCTGACCTGCGGCAGGTCAGTGGGTGGGCTGTGCTACACGATAGCCCTGGCCCGAGCGGTGTAAGGTGCTGGATTAAGGCGCCAGTCACTTCGGAGGCGTGGGTTCGAATCCCACCGCTGTCAGAAGGGTTTTGCTGAAAGACAATAACTCACATTCAATACGAAATTCATCAGCGACACGCTCCACAGGACACCTTGCCTACCTATTGACCCCCACCAGGAAGCGCATCCGCCTACAGGTACTGACCTCCCACCAAGTAGCTGACCCGCCTACATGTAGCTGAGGTAGCTGACCTGCCACTGCAGCAGGTCAGTGGGCGGGGCTGTGCTACATGATAGCGTGGCCAGCGGTCTAAGGCGCTGGATTAGGCTCCGGTCTCTTCGAGGCGTGGGTTCGAATCCCACCGCTGTCACTACGCTCTTGTTGAAACAATAATTCACATTCAATACGATAGTCAACAGCGACAGAGCTCCATGGAGGGACCCTGCCTACAGGTAGCTGACCCGACCAGAAGCGCATCCGCTTACAGGTAGCGGACCCGCCTACAGGGGAGC